GGGTCGTTTGCGGTTTGGGAGGTGCAGTGGGATGGGATGGGTGCACTCGAGGTGATGGTGTTTCGTGGGGTTTTCAGGATATTGGAGTTTTGGCATCATTTCCCTCAGTTTTGATGCTGCCCTGGGAGGGCATCACCCCAGGAGGGTGTCACGGTCCCGGGAGGGTGTCATGGCCCTGGGAAGCCATTCAGATAGGAGGGAAGCGAGAAGCCTCAGCTCTCCTGAACTCATTTATCTTGGGAAACCTTTGATGCCAACTGTGCCATGAGCAGAGCTGGGATTTAGCCCTTCCCCGGCTGCATCCCCTCGTCCCGATGTTGGAGCAATAAATGTCAGGCTGGTCTGAAGCTTCTTTTTGCTTCATGCAGCCACGGAGGCTCCTCTTTGCTTGTTCTCCTGGCCTAACCCCGGTCGTACGGGCTGTTCAACCACCCGTGAGCCGGGATGGCCGGAGCCGGGGGGTGACCGGGATGCCGATGCTGCATGTCCCCTTCTCCTGCAGACGATGTCCACGCTGCGGACGGGCGGCAGGTCTGCCGGCGCCACGAGCTCTACGTCAGCTTTCAGGACCTCGGCTGGCTGGTACTTGTCTACCGGGAGAAGTAAATGCCAAAAAATACCCCATCATCCCCCTTTCACCCGGGGCTCCCTCTCCTGCCCATAAAGCGCTGAGCAGCGGTGTGAGCAGTGCCAGGCAGCCAGGAGCTGCCGTGGCCCCATCCCGGGAGCCAGGAAGGCAAATGTGAACTGCCACAACCCCAAACCCCACTGCTGACCCCCAACAATTCATGGCTCTGGCTGAAATAAATCAAAATACGCCCTTGCTGCTGGCATGGCAGTGCTGGGAGGAGCCGGCTGGGTTGTTTTGGCAGGTGGGGAATGGCTGGAGGGGTGAAGCCCACAGCATAACTGGTATAAACTTTTTTTTTTTTTTTTGCAGGACTGGGTGATCGCCCCACAGGGGTACTCAGCCTACTACTGCGAGGGGGAGTGCGCCTTCCCCCTGGACTCCTGCATGAACGCCACCAACCACGCCATCCTACAGTCCCTGGTCGGTGAGACACCCCCAAAGGCAGCCTCAGGGCAGGGGGGACCCGCTGGGTACCCTGGGGGAGCGGCTGGAG